TTAAGGGAAACCAGGCTTTAGAGACAAAGGTTTGTGGTGCCCTGAGCCAAGCAGACTCAAGAGTCTGAGAGGATCCACATCCAGGCTTGTTTGTGTGCAAGATGAAAAAATTATTACAAACAAACACATACAGAGGAATCTGCAACGAACAACAGCGTCTCCCATCTTCCCTCAAGCTGCTCAAGATCGTAGAGACTCATGGGTCTCATGAAGGGGGGCAAGGGATATGGGCAGGGAGGCACAATGGGCTCCAGGAGGGAGACTGAATCTGGCTTGGGGATTGCTCTTCAGGGATAACAGGAATGAATGCAGCAATAAGGAAGGAAGTGAGACAGTCTGTCACCACCTTTATTAACACCTGTGAATGGCTTCTCATGTTACTCTTAGACAGTTAAAGTAGACACAAGTTACAGAGTCCTGCACTGCCCAGTATAGTGGCCACCAGCAATGTGTGGCTACTGGTTGCTTGGAATGTGACGGAGTTTAAAATTCCAGGTAGTTTTAACTGATTGAAGCAGCCATCACAGACATTTTCCTCTCTGCAGGAAGTTGTTCAGAACAGTGCTGCCAGCCTGCCCACCTTGTGCCTACTGCCTCGCTGTCGCTGACGTATGGGTTCCAAGGGTATGCCAGACTCTGTGGGAGCTCTGCCAGAAACTGACAGCTGCCTCAGTGCTCCAGGTCTCAGCTTGCTGGCATTCTCTCTCCCAGTGACTTCAGTTGTGTCTCTGTATTCTCTATCACCACTCATGTTTCCCACACGGCACCTAATGTAATTCGAAGTCATTTTTGCTAGCTCATTTAATAGTTTTCCCTTGTGCATCCCTTTAGGAGGGGAGCCTGTGGGACACAGGTTGGGTGTTTCTTATTGTGTAAATTCCAGGGACTGGTGTGGCCTTGAGCTCACTTATGATTCAAGTACAGTTAAGTGGCTGACTGAGTGTGCTCCATGCAGAGGGAACAGCATACGTGTGAAGGCCTGGGCACAGACACCAGCACAGGGGTGGGGAAGCCGCAGAGGGCTAGAAGAGAGATGAAGGATGACGACGGGCATACATTTAGATTGAGGAGGAGGTGATGTGGATGTCTCAGGCAGATTGAGTCCTGAGTTGGGCAGCCCTTGAGAAGCCTTCTATATGGCTGAAAAGGCTTGACAGTAGAGTTAGCCCGTGGCCACTGTCCTAGAACATGGGATACATGCAGAGAGGCAGGATAAATAAGGAGGGACCATCCTGACATGCACAGGAGCCCGGGAAGCAAGAGCATCCCATCTTTCATATCCCTGGGGATTGTGTACCAGTTTGCAGTACAAGTGGAGATGGCCCACACATCTAGTAGAGATGAATCCAAGCAAGAAGAATGTGCAGCCCTGTTGGAAATAGCAGGAGCCCAAGGGACCTCTGAGACTCCTCTGGGCCCTCCTCCATTGGTGGGGCATCCCCATCACACAATAAGCAGTTGCTCACTAAATAATTGTTGAATAAATAAATCCACACTCCACCAAGGCCACGAGATGTTCTCCTCTCATGAAGACTGGGAGGGAGTCTTGAGTGAAATCTGGGTCAATTTAATGCTGTAGGCAAGTAGCACACAAAATTAGAGGTCCATCCTTGCTCATTCCCTTCAACGACTTTGAGGGTGCAATTTTGCTTGCGTTGTTTCATAATTAGGTCAAAATAAATTTCTTCTAAGAAGTTTCCCCCAGACCATTCCTTTAGCTTCTGAACTCAAACTGGCCCATCAAAGTTCTTTCCCTGTCTAAATGCATGTTCAACAGTCTCCTGCAAGCATGCCATAGAGCTCCACCTGAGGGGGAGGGCAATGCCTCCTTCACACTCTGCATGGTAACAGGACTTCCTTCTTTTTTGGCTAATTTCAGAGACAGGACAGGAAGGAGAGAAACAGACAAATATCCCTTCATCTGGTCCTGTAGGGGTGGCTCCACTGTTTCTTCCCTTCTCATAGCTCACAGGCTTCCCCGTTGGCTTAGCTTCAAAGTGTGTTTTCTCATGTGAAGAATGACACCTCTCAAGGTGATTTAGGGGATTGGGGACCAGATAAAAGGAGTAGTCAATACTCCTTGTAGGCCTGGGGAGGTTCTCGTTCACTTTGACATTGGAAGCAGACGGGACAAAGGAAACACTGTACAGAGTACCTGAGTCAAGATTCTCCTTCTCTGGAAACATCACAGCGATGTCACAGTTAGTGACAGTGTTAGGGTTAGAGTGGGCGTCAAGATCGGTCAGATATGTCCCCTCGACTTTACAGATGTGGTGCATGAGACAGGGGACATCACACAGTCATTGTGGGACACCTTGAGGGAAGTCAGAGATACAACCCAGCTTGCCTGACTTCCATGTGCTGGAGATAAATACTTTTAAAATTGGAAGGGTCTGGAGCCCACTGCTTGGTAAAGCAATGGTAGGACACAGCTGAGCTCTGCCACACTCTGGATCCTGCTGTTTGTGCTTGGCCTCACCTCTGCCAATCACTAACCCAATAACATTACAGTGCCTCAGTTTCCTCATCTGAAAAATAGAAGTGATGGTGCTGGCACCAAGTTCATAGGGTCATTCTAAGGATGGCGTGGGCCACACAAGGAGGACCCAGAGCCTGATCTAGAGCAGTGCTTATAGCAGTATATTAAATGCTGCCTATTGCTATCAACAGTAAAAAATGATGCCAGTATACAAATCAGACCGTGGCAGCTGGACAAATTGAACTTTACACCTGGAAAAAGTTTTAAAGATAATCAGTTTGGACTTCCATGGACTTGATTTTCATAAGAATATCCCAACCACCAGCTCCAGGGTTCTGTGTATTATAGAAGATAGCAAAATTATCATTATTGAATGTCTCCATTAAGGTTTATTATGGCTAACACATTAGGTCTCAGATAGTCCAAATGTATGCTATAATGGAGCTGTGTTTTTATAAGCTGTCCCGTGTACTTTTTAGTACACTTGGGCCCTTATGCAACCAATGTGTGCAGCATTTAATGCCTATTTCATAGGCTTTTCTAAGAGAAACTGGACAGTGTGAAGGAACAAGCAATGGACCAGGAGCCACCAGGCCTGGTTAGAAGAGAGGCTTTGTCTCTTACTCACTGGGACACTAGGAGCAGGCTGCCTCTTTTCCTATCACTCAAGTATGGAGCCAGGCAGGGTGATGTATACGGCAGTCTGTGACTGGATGCAAAAATCTAACAAAATGAGTGATGGCAAAGGATTGAGGTGTTTAGCTTTAATATCTAATGATGCCATGTTTGGGGTCACATCTCTTAAGTTGCTGGGTTGTTGTTGTTGTTACTTTTTTTTTTTTAAGAACACAACCCCTAAGTATAAAACTGTTTCCAGAGGAAGCTATGGTCTGCTTTATAATAGTCTGCTGTGCAGGTGGCTCCCAGTGCCCGCCCGGGAACAGCTAAGCTGCTTCCATGTAACACCAACTTCTCTGGAAGAGAAGTGATGACCTTCATGTGACCACAGGCAGTCTTCTTGGCCATTCCTTGATGCGAAAGTAGCAACCGGTCTTACTTTGTGATTGTCCCTTCCTCTTCAGATTAAAGGAGTGACGTACAAGGGACTTATGTGAGCTTTGAGTTAGAGCGACACCTGAAAGCACGGGCAACAGCCCTCATAGTTCCCGAGACCATAAGCCTAAGCTGACCAGATTGCACTGCTACACACTTCAGCGGTGGATGTCCAGAGCCAGAAACCTGAGTCATCAAGAAGTGCATAAAATTCTTCCAGTATCGCTTGCTTCAGTGGGCAAGGCTGGGTGTGATGCCTTTTAGAAAGATTGTCATCAAAGAGCTTTTAAGACTACTCAGCTGCTGCTACACACCAAACTCATTGCTGTGGGCTCCCTCCATAGCCCTGGAGGGTGCCACCTGCTTGAAATATCCCCATGAGTGTCCCAAGGTTGATCGTGCATAGGGGAGAACACGCACAGGCAGGCACATACTGGGGAGTTTTAGAGATGAGACATTTTCCAGTTTTCCAGTAAGGGTCTGAGTAAGTTTTCTTGAGTGCCCACTGAACGTCAGGCATTGTTGTAGGGGTAGTATGTGGCATTCCAGAGAAGAGCCGCTGTTGACACAATTTCTATGGTGGGTATATCCATAAGTGATAGAAATGCTACTTCGTGGGGTTGTTTTGTTCTCTAAGTCTGGCCTTGCCCCTGCCAGACTTCGCTCCCTTCGAGCTGAGGGCTGCTTTAGAATGGAATGGGTTGCCCCTGTAAGACTGAACAGGGTCTTGGGACAGAAACTATACTTCTGCCATGAGCTTGGGAGCCCCCACGGGACAAGGCTGGTCTCTGCCATGACCTCAGTGCTTAGGGGGCACCTCGCTTTAGGGGGCGAGAGCGGGAGCTGAGCAAGGAAAGCTCCCTTTTCCTCGACAGAGGATCCCCCTAGGTCCTGAGCTGAGCACACACTTTATCCAGGAGCCAGTAGGAGCAGGAGCGAGGGGCGTCTCCCCTGAACCTCAGGGGAGGGAGAGAGGAAGGACGAGGCTGGGAGCTTTGCACACCGGGCACTCCCCGCCCTGCACGCTCCCCCCCTCAACACACACCCCAGTGCCCTCCTGGCAGAGGCAGTGCCCTGCAGCTCGCGTCTGAGCGGCGGCCGGCGGAGTGGGTGGCGCAGGGCAGGGGTGGTATA